AATAAAACGACAACAATGGTTTTTTATTAATACAAAAATGTCATTCAAATTTTAGGCATATACACTGTAGCAATTAATAATAACAATAAGCTTTATTAATTATATTACAAAAATGATTAACTTATTTTTCTAATCATACAATAATAACTTTAATTATTCTTTTATTAATTAATAAATATCATTGCAATTCCTTTATGTTTTTTTTTCCTTTTCTTCTTTCACTCTTTAAAATTTTATTTTGACACATTTTTCTTATCAATTAATTCATTGTTAAAAAAAAAAAAAAAACAAAAAAAATATATTGTTGCGCTATCAAATGGTCAATATCATTACGGTAGTGAGAATGTATGAGAATCATGAAATGATGAGAAATAATACTTAAGACTGAATGTTTGAAGCATTTGTGTGTGTGTATGTGTGTGTGTGTGTGTGTGTGTGTGTATGTATGTATGTATGTATGTGTGTGTATGTGTGTGTTGTAATTTTTGTATGTAAGTATTAATGGTCAGCAAGACGATAATTTTTTAATGGATGAAATGGTAAAAGTGATGATAAATGATACAGGGAAGGTATGCAAAACCCATCAGTAGAAAGTTTTTCTTTCTTAAGGCCTTTATATCTTTTCATTCCATACATACAATCACATATAATTCACATACATACATACATATATATATGGACATACACATATACACGCATATTACACACATACACACACACACACATACATACATACATACATACACATACATATACATACACATACATATATGCGCATATACACATAAATACATATATTTGCATTATAGATGGCGCCCTAAAGGTGAGCACTGATAAATTTATAATGCCGCTTTTTTCTTTTCATTCCATTCATGAATTAAGCACGGGAATACCAGTAACTTGATCATAGAAGCTTTCACAGTACTGGAGGGGGCATTTTCCCGCATTTATAACAAACCAAAGAATATGACTGTAATTATTCGGGAAATATCTGGAAGGATCGAAAATATGCAATCTTATTTATCTGGGAAAAGAGCTAAAATGATAAGAAATTATTTGAATACAAAATCATCTTATTTACCTGGGAAAAGAGCTAAAATGTTAAGAAATTATTTGAATACAGAATACATGACCAAAAAGATATTTTTCAAAAAAATTTTCCAAAAATAATAGATAACCAATGATGTGCATGTATGTATGTGTGTGTATGTGTCTATGTCTGTATGTGTATGTGTATGTGTGTGTGTGTGTGTGTGTATATGTGAATATGTGTGTGTGTATGTGTATGTGTGTATGTGTATGTGTATGCAATATGTGTATGTATGATAAATGAAAATAATCCAAATAAATGATTAATTTAATTAATGAATAAATAAATTTATTTAGACGATTTCATATTTCCATTATATATCACTATTACTAGCTAATGAAGCATAATACATTAGTATAAAATTATCATACATCTTTAATATCCATGAATATATTACATTAAATAATTTTATTAGAAATGCAATATACATTTTAATATATTTCATCCCATTTTATACTTGGATCATTTCATGAGTAAAAAGATAATTTTTTTTTTTTTTTTATAAATTTAAATACATCCAAAGAATTTTTACATTTCAATTGTATTATAATTTTAAAAAGTTTGATCAAAGATTAGCATCATTAATTTCATGTAAACGTGTGCGAAAAAAAAAAGATGTGATGATAAAAATGATAAAAAAATAAATTCTGATAAAACCATTAAGAATTATATTTAAAAAATATCACCTGATATATTTAAGCTATGTATTTTGTATTAAACAAAAAAAACTTACTTATACAACAATTTTATGATAGTAATCTGTGATCAAATTTTTTAAAATTAAAATATGATCGAAATGTAAATGTACATTAGGGTAGTTTTATCCATGAGTTTATAAAAAACAAAATTTCGTCATCATTATTAGGAAAAAATAACTTGCAAAAGATACCGCTAAAACAAGATTTTTGAAAAAGATTAAGAAAAGTGTGGGAATGTTGTTGAATAAGACAAACTAACTGGTAGATGAACAATCCTTACAAGTAAAATACTAATAGCACTTTTCCTTTTTTTTTTTTTCTTTTTTATAATTAATGATTGAATGTCCGGCACTTGTTGTTATATTTAAGGAACCGGATGGAACATCAAAAATAAATAAATATCTCTTTACCAATTATCCGCTCTTCCGATTTATTTTGCCGGTATTAGCTAAGAATAGCGTTGTATCACCTCAACTACGAACATCTGGTAACAGCAAGTTCCTAAAAAGAAATTACAAAAAAATTACAAAAACTTTTCCCTCTCTACCTAGAACTATATCAGAGCAAAATAAATGATGGTTAAAAAAACAAATAATTCATTGAATGGTAATCGAAGCAAAAAAAGAAAAAAAAAGAAAGAAAAATTAGTAAATAAAGAAATTAGTAAAAAAATAAGGCCGAATATTGATATAAAGACCGGGAATTAACTTAAAAACTAGAAGCTAGCTCATAGGAATAATTGGTAAAACAAACATAAAAACTTGTGAGACTCTTTTTTTTTCCAAATTCATTTCAAAGAAAGTTATTAACAAGTCAAAGAATAAATCAACAGCCCTGTCTGATGAATCTTCAAATGACAAAAATCAAAGTCTATTATGGGTTTCATACGCTCCGGGCGATCATCATACTAGCTGAATTCCAAGCATATTTGGAAATAGTTCACCTTTTCCTCTTTTTATATGAAATTATTTGCGCAAAAATAAACGAAGTCATAAGGGGATTCAAGACGGTGGTATAGAGGAAGAATCATACCTTTTATTTGAGTGCAAATAATACAATAATCAAAATAATACGCAATTTGAATGCCAAAACAATCGCTGGAAGATATGAAAACCTTTCACATCAGAATTTTTGTTTGCATTACTTGAATCTTTCATCATATTTAAGCTAGTTGAGTTTTTTTTTTTTTTTGTTACAAAATGATGCTTAAATAAGACTATTGCAATAGTAAAAGATTGTTTCAGTGAAAGGTATGTATCAGTTTTACGATGTGCTAATTCGCATCAGATGAGCGAGTCTTGCGACTCAGGTATTTATTCCTCTTCTTCACTGTTTTAAGCATCTCATATATTGTGGATTTGGATGGTAATGGAAGATTCTTTTGAAACTCCTAGAAAAAAAAAAATATCTAGGTTCAGGATATTAATCAACAAATAAAAGTTGCAAAATAAAAACGGAAGAATTAGATATTCAGTAGATTCCAACAACTCTAAAACTGTTCAAGGAACGAATTTGCCCTAGTCGTGGAAAAGAAACAAAAAATAAGAGTTGAGGAATTGGAATTTCAAAGTTCTCAAAATCCACAAATCACCAACTTTCATAAATTTATGTGTATCGATGAAGGTTTCACTAAAGTCGCTCAACGCATGAGACAGTTCATTGTTGAGCTTCGTCGCATTATGAATACTTTCTAGAGCAGTAGTGTTTGTAACTGCATAAATTCGACGCACATTGGCACTTCGTGATTTCTGTCCAATTATAACAAATCGACCGATATCACCTGTATTGCAAACATGCCTGCAAGTTTGAGATTATGAATACACGACCCTATATAATTTTTACCACGGGTGTTTCAAAATAATTAACTCGGAAAACAGAGCTAAAGGAAAATCACAAAATAATTATAGATAAGGATTAGGAAAGAACCTGAAATCGAAATTAAAAAATTGTTATAAAAATCTGTATTGCTAAACAAAATTACATTAGCAAAAACTGAAAATCCCATTACTACGGAGATATATAAAATTTATCACTCAAAAAATAAATGCAGTAAGACTTACGTCCCACAACATGGCTCGATGATATCTTGACCAAGTAATTGTGAGCTTTCAATCGTAATAATCCGATATGAGCCATCGAAGGCTGCTTCCTGAATAAATTGACAATAAATGAATATCAAGGAAAGGAAAAAGAAAAAATATCAGGGAAAAAGGTTATCCACAAATACTAATTCCTAAGAAATTTATCGCTGATTCGATTTCTAAAATTCCAAAATTCTAAACATCAACCAATATACAAAACTGAAAGGGTGAAACTGATACCTGCGAAATGTCAAAGGCAGAGAAATTCTTGTGCATAGACCCTAGTTCATTTTGCAAAATGTATTTTACCGTAACATTTAGGTTACTTTCAATAATCATATTCACCGTTGCCATTACTTCTTCGATCTACAATCCATTTTGTTAATTTTATTTCTTCGGGACTTCATAGTACATCACTTTGAAGAACAACAACAACGAAGCAGTTATTTTACACGATAGTCTATGCATTATATAACTTAATTTTCGGAAAGATCCGTAAATAAAAATTTTTTCCTTAGAAGAATGTCTGGAGCAAAATTCAACATCGATTTATTTGCTGCACCTAAATATTGCTCAATTTGAAACTTCCCACATATCAAAAATAAGAAATACCGGCATATTGTTTTGCAAGACTGTGGTCAACAGATGAAAAAAAAAAGGAAAAAAGAAACTAGATAGGGTAAAAGCTCTGCAACATAAAGTTTTGGTAAAAGCTTGGTCTTGAACCCTCAACGAAGGGATTTCAGTAGAAGGAATATAAGAAGGATGGAAACAAAATTTTGTCATCCACACAGAAGAACGGATATATTGCACAGATTGACAAAGGAAAACTGTTTATTAATTCTCATGAACGAAAAGTAAACCTTCTCAAGGGTAAATTTTTCATCAGGAACAAAAAAATCGAAATGCAGCTTGTCAGGACCAATAAATGAACCCATCTGACGCACTGATGCATCAAATACTTTTTCAAGCGCAAAATGTAAAATATGGGTGGCAGTATGACCGCACATTAGCGAAAACCGTTGCTTCTGAAAAGATGAAGACGACTTTTGTTCAAGGGAGAAATTTCTCGTCAGTGACAAAAATCAAGACATAGCTTGTAAGGATCAATAAATAAACCTATCTGGATTAAAGAATCTGTCTTGTTTGAACTTGAAATTTTGGGGAGATAAAGCAAATATCTTAATCCCCATTAGTGCAATATTCCATAAAATGCTAAATAAAACAAGGTATTCTCAACTATACCTAACAGTGGAAACCATGCGCAGGTAAGAAGTAGAAACGATACTTTTTTTTTTCATGATAATGACTGAGGATGATTGGAAGTAACAAGAAAACTTGAAATCATTGCAAACTTACAGGATCTATAATTTGCACCAAGTTCAGGCCCTTTTCCAATGTTTGGCCATTTGCTACTTCCCCTGTATGGATGATATAACCATTCCGCCTTTTAGCACTATTTACAGTAAATATAACATTCTAGAAAAAATACGAAAAATTATTATAAACCGTAATGCACGATCCTTGAAGACAAAAGAGTTATAAACCGCTCCACATCAGTTCTTTCGCAATTCTGTTCATTACAATATTGTATGACTTGGTTTTGTCCACCTTTTCAAAGATAATCAATAAAGTGATTATTTAAACATAAATCATTTACATTTTATATCAGAACTCAGCGAAACTGGAGCGTACATATTGCCTTAGAAACCCTACATTTCTGAGACATGAAAATCACATTTAAACTATCTCGAAGGATGCCTCTGTCGTACAACTGTCCTCCTTGTTCAGCGAAAAAAACCGTCGAATCCATAACGACAGATCCTCCTTCTCCCGACTTAAGTGCCATTACACTTTTACCATTGACATCAAAGATTGCCACAACAGCACCTGTTCTGCTAGGAAATTCTAAAAACTTTTTTTTTATAAATTCAATTCTAAGCAAATTCTTCATTTTAAAAACAAATTCTCAAGAGAGTTAAGTAGAGCAGTTGAAATTACCGGCAAATGTATCTGTTATGCTTTTATCTGATATAAAGTCTGATTTCCTCAACGATAAGAAAAGCATGCGTATGTCTGATCGATTTTGCGCTATTTAAAGATTAAGGCATGCGATGAATCAAAGACCTCGGTAATCTAAGGTTTTTGAAATCTAGATCGATTTTCATTGTGATTAAAAAGACCAAAAAGCAAAAGTTGTATACCATATTCACCCAATTTAATCCGCTTGCAGCAATATTTTTCTGAATCGTCGGTTGCCTTTACACCACTCAGCATCATTTTCTCTAAATCGACTTTTTGCCAAGGCTCCTCCTCGGCTTTTTGAGTTTTCTGCAAAATTTTCTTTTATCAATAAAAATATATACAACCTACTGGCAGCTTTCTTTCATAAAACTTGAAATTTAATCGAATTTTATACCGTGAACTTTCAGTTTTATAAAATAGTATACCTCCGATGGATAGGTATTTAGGCTTACCCTATCAGAGGTATATTCTTCAATAAAAAATAGCTCCAATGCTGAAAACTCTAGCTAGCAGAAACATAAACAATTTAGAGGTATTTAGGGCTGTTTATACATATTAGCCAATCTTTTTTTAAATATATATATATATGTTTTATGCTTGCTTTTATGCTTCTATGATTTTCGCTTTAACTCCCAGAACTAAAAAACTACAAAGAGATGAAAAAAATATCATAAAAACGAGATAACGAGTAACGAAATTAGCACTCATTAGACAACACAACATTTGAACAGAAAAATCACCTGAAAGTTCGTCAGACAATGGTGGAATCCATCCACATCGACTTTCAACCCTTTTTCATTGCATACTTTTTGAATTATTGCCAGTGGAAGACCATAATTTCCTGACAACATCCATGCAATTTCTCCTAAATAAATTGATATAAATTTTCGGTATATAACATAGTTTTCATGCGTGATGAAAATATATGATTATATTTGTTATAGCGAAAATTATATAATTGGAATGACAACTAACATCAATGATTTATCCATATCTAACGGTAACTTAAGCGTACTTTGTCACTGAACCGCTTCAAGCAATTAGTGCACAGTGGCGAAATTAGTAGAAGCACGCAGCAACGAATTACCGTGCAGTTCTGCTGAACTTGAAAACTAATCTGACTTAAGGAAATAAAAACTATTAATCTCTGTCTGAAAAAGAACAGTCATACCTGGTAGTATATGTTGCTGAGATGCAATATTATGTTCAAGTAATTTGGTGCCTTTGTCATAACTTTTCCAAAACAACTGTTCCTCAGACATAACCGTTTTGACTATTATAGTTTCACATGCCGCAACGCTGTCATACAATAAAGTCTGAACATGAGCAGTAGAAAAAAAAGAAAAAATCTCTTGAAAGCTTGATAAAAATGATTCAGTTCATTCACATGAAAACTCAATTATATGGTTGAACATACTATATGATTAACAAAATCAGGCACTAAAGATGCCAACGTCCCGCGCTCCGCACCAAGTGTTAATGTCAAATTTAATGCGGCACGCCGCAAAACCCGTCGAAGATGATACCTGGAAACATGATGTTATCTAAAGAAATACTGCTCGGAAAAAAAGAATACTAGTGAAAGTTGAATTAATAATTACAGAAACATTTCGAAATTTGGAACTAACTGCTTCAAATATACGGCTGCGGAATTATAAAGTGTGCAGCAGGAGCAATGAACAGAAATATGAAGATGAAAAAATATATGGCAAAATCAACGGAAATCTTATCTTTGATTCAACTTTTGGCATCAAATACTGGATATCATAATAAACAAGCATGAAGTACTGATACTTTCATCATTAAAGAAATGCGTCCTAGAGAGAAGCTAACCCTCGATTTCGTGAACCAGGTTCAACACCGTCTGAAATCATAATACAAGCAGCGCGAAGATGATCCGCAATAATCCGATATGCTGTATCGATATCCCCCGATCGTCCACTATATCTTCCGACTTTAGAATACTAGAAATTTTGAATTTGCAGAAAAAATAAGATGACATTCATCAGTACCATATGATTTCAATAAACATAAAATCTGAAAACTTTTAAACTAAATAAAAATCCGAAAACCCAAAAACCAACCTTGCAAATAATTTCCATTAATGGAAGAAAAAGATCGGTATCATAAGCAGAACGCAATCCTTGGACAATACTCACTAATCGTTCGAAGCCCATCCCGCAATCTACGTACAACGTTGGTAAACTACTGATTCTGCCTGACATATCCCTGCGATAAACTGTTGTAGACTATTTATTTTTTTTTTTATTCACTTTTTCTTTTCTATTCATGCTTTGTAATTTTTCTGAATCCCAACAACAAAAATACTGAAACTTTCCAGGAATGCTGAAATTCCTTCCAATAATAATAACAGAAGTAGCGAGATCATGAAAACATTACCTGGTGAACTGCATAAAAACAAGATTCCAAATTTCGACTACTGTTGGATTATTTGAATTTACAAGTTTTTGTGCCTTTCGATTACCAATAAGATCATAATGAATTTCTGTACACGGACCACATGGGCCAGTTTCAGCCATTTCCCAAAAGTTATGATTAAAACAACAGCCAAGAACACGATCTTCGGGAACACTGCAAAAGATGAAAGTCGATAGATATATTATCACTAAAGATGGCAACACTATGGTAAACCATGCGGATTTTGGAGCAAAATTCCTAATTATACCCTAACTTAATCCAAATATCGCGGCATTCATGATCTTCCTTTAATTTCAGGTTTTCATCTCCACTGAAATACGTTACATATAACCGATCAGCTGGTATCCTGAGGACATCTGTAAGAAAGTTCCACGCATACCGACACGCTTCTGCCTAAAAAAAGAAAACTTCCCGGGTCGATCAGAACTTTCGATACGAGATTTCAAAACAAAGCTGAAGACTTCAAGCTTCTCTCAATCCGTAGCACAGATTATACTATGTTCCTAGCCCATCTATTATAGTATCCATTCATTCTTTCGGTCAGAATACATAAAAACCATAGTTAAGTAGAGCTAACACGTAAACCTGAAATGTCGATGGCTAAAACAACATTTTGTTTCATATTTTTTTTTTTACATTTTGTTTCATTTTGTTTTTTAAGTCATTTTAAGCCTACTATTGTCATAATAAATTGTAAAATTTGCATTACTTCGATATCTTCCAACAGCAACAAAGTGGAAGTCAGAATTCAAAATACAGAAAATGAAAAACAGAATAAGAATGCATCATATCCTACAACCTTCGAATAACCACCAAATGAATAATTTCCTAGCATTTCGAAAAATGTATGGTGCGTCAAATCACGGCCAACATCATCAAAATCATTATGTTTGCCACCAACACGAATACACTTTTGCCAGTTAACAACGTTACGCAAAGCAGCAAATTTGCCTTCCGTAAATTTAGCACCCAGAAAAAGTGGCTTGAACTGAAAATATCAGAAATGGTTAGATATCGTTTCATTCTTTCAGAATGAGAAGTTGTTTATTCAAAAGTTGTGTTTATTCATTCAGTTATGCAGAAGTAAGACTTGAAAGTAGTCAAATGACAAAATGCATCATAGTAGTTCTATGATTTAGTCACTGAGTAAATTACACGAGTATGATGAATAAACAAAACACGTTATTTAGAATCAAAAGAAAGATAAAACAGGAAAATATAAAAGATATATTAAATTCTACAATTTCGAAAACTTCTAGCTAAGTCAGGCATTTTCCGAAGGCTAAACAGGCATCCGACCTAATAGTTTCTATCAAACCAATAAATAGCACAGCTTGACACTTACCAAAATTTTCGAAATTTCCAATGATAGTTAATCAAATTTCTGAAGCCTCAACAAATCACTAGATCTTTGCATAATTTTGTACAGCTAATATAACTTACTTCAAAGCTCATACCTGATTCATTCCGGCATTAACAAATGTAACGGAGTTGTCATCTTCCGGAATAACGGATGAAGAAGGCACGTATGTATGATCATGTTCTTTAAAATACTCTAAGAAAGATAAACGAATTTGCTGTGCCGATAAACGACGTACATGTAAACATAAATATGTAATATGGCACCGAGTATTAGACCACAATTTATTCATCATCCATACATCACCAAATTTCTGCAACGAAGAAAAGAAATAGAAAGTAAAAAGCAAAGTGTGAGTAGGTTTTATTTGCACTACCTATACATACTCATGCATCTGTTGTATTTATAATATACACTAATATGCTTACCTACATTTATATGTATGTACCCATAATTCTATCTAATTTTTTAGGCAGCATTACGTTTGTTATTCTTCCTATGCCCTTATTTCCATCAATATAAAAGATGTCCCTAAATGTCGTATTAAAATGTAAGTGTTAAATAACAAAACAAAAATAAACATAATACCAATAAGTGATGGTATTCCCTCATTCCCTTTACTTAATTAACTTCCAGTTATTAATTTAGTTACCTTTTATTTAAAGTTTACAAGATTTACTTAGCTATCTCCTTCTAGTCTGTTAGATACATTAATCATCGTCGCTATGGATGATACGGAAAAAAAAATTCACACCTTAATTAATGACCACAAAGCAATTTCGTAACTTTACTAGTGTTTAACATCACATATCATATTCAGAAAATTCGAAAATAGCTAGAGCTAAGAAAAATCGGAACTAACCCCCGTAAAATCCCAATAGGAAATCCCGAAGAACACCCCGCATAAATATACCGCAAATCCGTCAATTGTCCATTGGATGATACTAGGACCGGATCGGGATGAAAACAATTATCCCACCGCTTTATATTATCTCTCTCGCTTAAGTCATTTTCCGGAAACATCTGCTAAGTATTAAAATGCATGGGCCAGTTCAATATGACGACCGGCCTTCTAGAGCTTGGCTTGTTTAGGCCAGCTATAATATGCCTAGCTTTCGATACTGATATTACGGCCAAGTCTAATTTTGTATTGCTTAATAGACTGAGAACTTTTTCATCCATTGAAAACAGCATTTTATTGTTTAGTCAGTTACTGACTGTATCCTGTCCCTATCGTATAGAAATCAAGCTATTTGTGTATTGTAACTTACTTATTACTTTACTCTATAGAAAAAAAAAAAAAACTTGCTAAGATAATGAATCGTTGTTCACTCATATATAAACATATGCGGGAAATATTTCCATTTGATTCTATTATTTATCTTAATTTATTCAAATTTAATATCAATTTAATTAATTTAATCACAAATCTATGAATTAATAAAATTTATAAACCAAACGAATATGTTATTTTCGGAAATTTGAATTGTTGACGAAATTCGAATTTCGAAATGAATAATGGATAGGAAGTAGTGAACAAATTTATTAATCTAATTAAAATTACCAACTATAATTCTCATAAAATTCAACATTTCATTACTTGAAGAATGTATATTTCAAGGGTATATATCATGTTAATTTACTCTTTACCTATCGGATATACTCTTTACTACTTAATACTTATGACAACATGTCATTCTTTGGACATACATGTAAACCGGATATCCCCATCTTGTCCATTACTTTCGTAAACCGGATATATCCCCATCTTGTCCATTACTTTCGTAAACCGGATATTTCCATCTTCTTCATTATTTTCTTCTGAACATCATCTTTGATGCATAATTGGCTTTGTTTTTAAACTCATCAAAAGTAAACATTTGATAGTTTTTTTTTTTTGGGATCCATCATACAAACTATTTGTATATGTCAATAAATGCCCATTAAAAAAAAAGGAATTAAATTCTCGGGATTTCTCAGAGTTATTCTTTTAACAAATAATCATCGGAAAATAATTAATCGATAATTTGATTTTATCATTTGTATTGGCTAATATCAAAAAGAAAAAAACAAGTACTATAACTTTGTCACTGTTTTTTGGATGATAAGCATTATTTGTATCATATATGTTCTCAATTAGGGAATGATTAAATTAAAATCTTGCCTATTATTATCGATTGATTCCAACAAATATTTTCCTTTAATTTTAAGTAATATACAACAAATTTTACTAATGATTATTTGAATTAATAAATAATTAAATGAGTAAAATTTATCACAAGCATACAAAATAAAAAAAACAATATTTTATTCGTTTAATTATTACTTAAAGCAAAAATTAAAATTAATTAAAATTAGATAAAAATTAATACATCAATATTATTAGCAAAGAGTGAGAAGATTGTATTCTGATTCTGAGGATTCTATCGTGAATTTTTTTTTTTTTTTTTAAAAAAAAAAGGTAAAGCTCAAGTAAAATGTATGAAATTCTGATAACAATCATAATTGCTTTTATGTAAATTAGAATCATTTTTTTTCAAAAAAAAAATATTTGATTTAGTTAAACAAAATGCTTGAAATTTCCGAAAATTTTTTTTCTTTTTTACTTAATGAAATTATTTCGAAGTTTATTTTTTCTATAAAATAGAATAAATCTTAGTTGAGTTTCCTTTTTTCCCTCTCTC